GATAATAAGATACATAAAAATACAATAACTAACTAACTAACTAGAAAAATATACATACACATATATATATATATATATATGTGTAGAGAGAGAGAGAGAGAGAGAGAGAGAAATAGTTTTTATTAACATAAGAGAAGGGGGAGAGGAGGCAGCAATAGCAGCAGTAGTACCATACCCACCACCATCACCACACTCCTATTCCTATTCCTATTCCTACCAGTACTGTTGTCTCCTCTAGAAGAACCATTTGCATGCTGAGCAGGACATTATCCCATTTGTTTGTTTTTTCTTTTCTTTTCTTCCTTCCTTTTCATGCTAGTTTTGTGTTGTATCACAGTCTCCTGCCATCCCTTAACCCCCACCCATACAATTAAAATGAATAAAACGAAAATATGACCAATCTAAAGTGTGTGTGTGAGCCATGAAGGACCTCCTCTACCCCTAACTAATACACAAATATAAATAAGGAAGAGACAGGGCTTGTCACTACCCAGTAGTATTAGTAGTAGTAGAAATGGTGGAGGCAGTGGTGATAGAGTTGTATGGTAACTTTCACATGATGCAACAGGCTTCTTCTTCTTCTTCCGAAGCTTTCCCTCACCATCCAGGTGATGAAACTACCTCTGTTTCATATGTATGGCTTTTTTGATTTGAGATGATATAGGGTTGCTGCTCCTGCTGCTTCTGCTACTGCCAGAGCTCTTGTGCTGTAGGCAAAGGCTGTAGGAGAGAGAGTGAGTGAGTGAGAAGGAGGATGGCCTGGCTTGCAAGTCCTTAAACTTAGTGGTATGTGAGTGAAAGAGAGAGAGAGAGACAGACAGACAGACAGAGAGTGAGAGTGTCTGTGAGTGTGTGAGGCAAGGGAAACAGAGCCCACTGTCTGTCTGTCTCTCTGTGTGTGCGAGTGACTGTGTGTGTGTGTGTGTGTGTGTGAGGGATTGTTGGGTTCTGTGCTTGCCCGAGTGATCACGTGTGACTTCACTTACTCTACCTTAGCTCCCAGGATCCTTCAAGATTGGCTGGGCCATGAATGAATGCATGAATGGGGTTTTATATGGATGAAGTTGTGGATGGATGGATGGGTGGGGGTACGTTTGGATGAAGTATGATGGGATGGATGGATAGCCTGGACTTTGCTCATTCTAACTCTGCCGGTTTCACCCTTGACTCGTGAGGTGTGATCAGCCACTAGGCTTTTTTTTGGGTTTGTGAAGAATATGGACTGCTGGACTTTCACTAAGCCAGATTTTTAATTTTTATTTGTCATCAGAACATTTTAAGAAGTATATTTTTATTTTCCAAGTGTAGTTTGTTTCGGGTAAATGTTAGTTTCAGAAGTTATTTATTTATTTATCTATTTATTTTTCCTTCGATTGCATTTGTACATGCCATAGTGGCAACATACCAATGGCTGCTTGAGTATGCTTTACTTTTCATTCTTACGTTTTACCAGATTCATTACACTTATTTGAAAATCTCATTTGTAACAAAAAAAAAAAAAAAAAAAGAAAAAAAACATATGGTCTCATAGACCCTTGGAACACACAGTTCAACACCTTCCCACAAAGAGTTCAAGCAGAATCTTGAAACATGTATACTTTATTGAATCATTTTTCCCAAATGAGCAACCACAAACCTTAGAGAGAATATCCATTTCCTTTTCCCCAAGCCAACTCTCAACCTTAGGGTTAGGGATGGATGGTTGGATGGATGGATGGATGGATGGATGGAACCAGTTTCCTCATCCTGGAAGAAACGGTACAAAAGCCAAGAGATACTTGTCACGTGCCCTAAACTGGACAATCTATCAGAATGTGGGGGGTACTGAACAAGATCAGATGATCACTTGATCTGTTCACATAAACCATGTGCACTCAACTGCTCAACTTCTTAATCTTTCATTTTTGGTGTCATTATGGGAAAGGTAAAGTTGCCATTTTTTTTTCATTCCATTAAACAAATGTTTAGGGTTTAGGGTAAATGAACAAGGGGGGGAGTGGGAAACATTGTGGAGAAAGGGTGGGGGGGTTAAGTCCCATGTAGCCAAGGACATGACTGCAAAGCACTCAAAGCACTGAACCAGGCCCCCCCTTTTCTTTTCTTTTTTTGTCAATCTTGTTGTTGTTGTCATGTCCCTGTTCCCCTTCTCTGTTTTTGGCCTTGTGCTGAGGATCCTTGAATACAACTGGGCACTTGAATACTCCCCACTTGTTCCCATGTGGATGCCATAAGGTTCCCCAAGCACAAGAAGGGCTGTGGGATTCATTATTGTACAACACAGAGACCACACCACACAAGAAGAGTGGTAGAGAAGAAACCTTTGGCTACTCTAAAAAGTAAGTTAGAGGGAGCTTGTTGTCTCCATGGGATTTGATGCCAATTGTAAGGGCTCCTAACCTTGATGTGGTTGCCATTGTACCCAAAATGGAAGAAAAATACCCCATCACAATAATTATATCCAAGATGGTTTTCTGAGTTACTGCTTTTCAAAAGGGGTAAGATTATCAGAAAATTTATCTGATAATCTTGTCTAATGTAAAATACTATCATGATAATACATATATGTGCATACGTATATACCTTACGTGGTTGAATATATGCTGATAGTACATTCTACAGTAGATGATAACACCACTACTTACCTTCACACTACCCAGCTAGCCTTACAATATATCAAGTTTGATATCTTGGGTCTAAATAACTCAATTTGAGATTTTTGTTACATTTTTCATTTATACATTTTATTTTATTTTTCAATTAAAGAAACCATACAATGAACACTGCTGGGACAACAAATATTCTTGCTTGCAGGCTGAACTACGATTTTAAAATTGGTGCAAGTTAATTTTAAACTGCAAGTATGTTTTTAACTAGGCGGAGTAATAAATTGGTATTGGAAGATTCACTCCTGCCTTTTTAAAAATAGATTCTGGACCAAATTCTGTAGCATCTTTTGTAGGCAACCTGCAGATGGGGGGGGGGAAGCATTTCTTCACTGTAGAAGGCAGTAAGGATACAAACGGCATTGATCCCCCTTATACTGTGTGTTCTCCAGTACTACTAGTTTGTCTTGGATCTTCAAGTCAGAGGTAACTCACCCACTTTTCTACAGAAATGCTTAACACTGTTGGCTCCATTCCTGAATCTCAGTAGAGCTCCTCACACTATTGACTTTCCCTATTGTTTGTTTGTTTGATGGAACAAAACTGAATGCCATATGTGCTCTGGAGATTGGAAACCCAATATGGGTTATAATAACTCTTCTGCCCCTTGTATCTGTTTTTAACTTCACATGCAGCTGTAGATTGTGACATTTTGATTCCTTTGTTCATATTTGCCCCTGTAGGATTGGAAAAGGAAGCAGCATCAGAGGTGAAAACACACACACAGCGAACAGGCTGAAACAGTGTACTGGGTATTGTGATTAAAGATATTACTTCAGGATCCTGGAGGCTTATGACAAAGTTGTGACAGGTAGATCTGCCCCTTTGCTGGTTCTCTCAACCATGTCCTTAACTCCAAGTAATGTTTAGTAATTCTGCATCAATGTTCTCTGTTTAAAAACACTGGAAATTCATCAAAATTTCACTTCTTTAGAAAGTAAACGAAAAGTGATGATGTGTTGCTGACTTGGGTAGTAGGTTAAATTTTGGCCCCAGGAATTGATACAACCTTCTCAAAGTATTCTTAGTTAGAAAAGGAGTTGTACACTTATTTTCCTCTTGTCAAACTTTAGTGGTGTAGAGAGTATAATAAATAAAAACTTGCACATTGAATCTATTGTCACAGATGAATCTTATAAAATAAAATTGAAATAGTAGAATTGTATCTCATGCTTTTTATTTGAATTAGTTAGTGAAAATAACATAGATCCTCGTTTGCATTACTATGAGGGAAAATATATCTAAGAGGGGAAATTGGTATTACTACCCGTATATCTCATTGTCAGTATTTTATCAGTTATTTTACTTTTGATGTTAAAATTTCAGCACATATGTACTCAACAAAAAAGTAAATTGTGACAATGGTTACTTTCTAATTCCAATTAAGTTTTAAATTGAAATGCTTTATCTCTAGATTTTACATCTTAATTGCTGAAATCTCTGCCTGAATAGTTTACTAATGTTTTTAGCAAACATGATATTATTCTTTGTTGGTAACTTCCAAACTACTAAATAATTTTACATGTTTTTGATGCTATTAAAACTTTAAATTTACACATTATGACAGATTAAATGTACACTCCTGTACTTTTGCGAAATTTAAGTAAAGTCATAAAGGTCAATTAAGAAAATAAAATTCTCTCTCTATATATATATATATATATGCATGTGTGTGAGGAGAATGAAAAGAATGGCACAATATTGCAATCAAGAATGCTAATCACAGTGAAGACAATTTTTTTTTTTACAAATTTTACATGAAAAATGCTTAAAAACATCCTTAACAGGAAACCAAATAGGCATCAATCTAAACTAGTTATTGTTCTTATTGACTTAAGGTTTTAAACATTAACCCGATAAAACTTTAAAAAGTAAAAGAAAAGAAAGGAAAAGAAAGGAAAAGAAAGTTACACTATGAAAAAGAAAGCCCAAAGTGATTCCATGGAATCGTGCGGGCAAAAAGAAAATTTACCACAGCCCCGAAGAGGCAAAGAGTATTGTTTACCCCGGGATTAAAAATATGACGCAGAACACGGCTACGATTTTCCGCCGCAGAATCTGTCGCCTTTCCACATTTACCTTTCAGCCAACAGAGCTGCTCCTGCGTTCCCAATGGCAGCGAGCCACGTTCCCACGTTCTACACCATTAGTAAGTTCACGTCAAGCCATGACTCACCGCTGCATTTACCCCCTCCCTGACATAGTAAAACGGTGGATCTCTTTCTAGGGTAAGAAACGGCCTTGCTGTTACCCGCAGTCTGACAATTCGGCATTCCGTCACGGCCGACCTGCGGTCGGTGCTTTGGGGCTCTATTCTTCGGGACAAGAGCTGGTCTGGCCCCATTCCCCTCTTTCATCAAAGCTTGCAGCATCGCTGCCTGCCTCCATCATACTCAAACTCGTCCCTGCTCCCAATCCTGAGACTTTCATCGATCTTGTCTTCGCTGCCATGCAACTCCCCTCTCCGGCGATCCCGACGAGCCCAGCCTTGCGAAGTTTGGTGCCGAATTGCGTGTGGTGAGGTTCATTGAGAATTGTGGGGGAAGCGTGGTGGCGTTTAGTTGCAGTGAGTCTAGTAATCTCGGGTAGTGGTGGCTTGATTGAAATAGGATCGTGGGTTGAAGGATCTTAAGTGGAGTGGAACAAATATGTTGTTTCGACTTGGTGATGGGGTGTATCTGACGAAGGTCAAGGGATTGCGGAAGTGCTAGTGTGGGAGGGGATAATCAGTGTAGTGGTTGGAAAATTTGCGTGGTAGTACCGTCGTTTTGTTCATTCATTTTTGTTTTCTTCCTCGATGATATGCAGCGTGCATTCATTTCAGAAGGAGTGCAAGGCAGGGCGTGCTATTTTGGTTTTTAGGATTTTGTGCCGGGGATTCTTTAATGCAAGTGAGAGAGCTGTGCATTTGCTGTGAGGTTTTGAGGATTAGAAGTGTCTGAAGTGCTAGGGAGAGATTTCCGCTGCATGTCTGTGTCAAAGAGAGATTGGAGCTGTCAGTGAAGATCAAAACGGCGCAGCTCTGTTTTTGAAGGGAGTTGTGAGTAGTGTATCCTGTTCACACTGCGAGAAATTTGTTAGTTGAATCATGCTGTGATTTAGCATGAAAATGCGAGTTGATCTCCAGTTTCATCGTAGAATACTGGTCTGTAGTACCCCTGCATAGACGACTTTGAATGCGAGGAGGAATTTGGCTCTCTCTTTCAGCAAAATAAAGCTTGCGGGTTCGTCTTGTCGTGGCGGCCCGCTAGAGCTTCCGACTGCACAAGGCGCTTCAGTGAGTGGACATCGTCGTCGGGCCATCAGAACGAGCAGAGTCGTGCACAGGAGGCTAGTTTGGTGAGTGGGAAAGAAACTTATCAAGCAGTCCAGACAGGTCTCTCCTGTTAGCGCTGCTCCTGCTTATGTAGACAGTTTAATAGTCTTCTATAGAAAGCCTTCTTGGGATTGGTGTATTAGTGCCGGCACGTTCTCTTAATATGATCAATCACTAAAAGGCGGACTTCTCTTGAGATTTTTTTTTTTTTTTCATTGTTCTGATTCTTGTTGAAGAGGATCACATTGTACCCCTTTGAGTCTACATCGAATAGACTACAGCTGCACCTGGTTTCTCGCATTGCTTAGCTGTGCGTTGAATAGTTGGTGTTAACCTACAGTGGAGTTCCTCGCTCACGTAGTCTATGGAAGTCCGGATTCTTAGACCAATGAAGGGATTGATATAATCTCCAACCCAGGTTAATAAACTAGAGAATTTCCTTCAAAGGATTTAGGCTTCAGTAGTCCATTCCCAGTTCGGTAGTCTGTGGTCCATGAGCAAGCTGTAAGAAATTTTTAAGTGCGTTTGGAGGTTTTCGTTTTGGAAGGAGATATAAGAGGGGCTGATAACTTTCAGCTTGTGAAGGTACTCATTATCTCCCTCGTTTAGCTTAAGCCTGAACAGATCTCTTCTCCCGCTACGATCCCCGAGAATTTGTTCCTTCAGCAAGCAGATTCTGCTGTTCTAGTCAAGTCCTTTGTTAATCAAACCGGCCGGACAAACGTTCTCAAAATGATTAACGGCCATGACATATACAATGTTCTCAGTGCCATGGTACCTTTATACGTGGCGATGATGTTGGCCTACGGCTCTGTGAAGTGGTGGGGGATTTTGACACCACAGCAATGTGGCGGAATCAACAGATTTGTGTCCATTTTCGCCGTCCCCCTTCTATCCTTCCAGTTCATCTCCGGAAACAACCCATACGCGATGAATTTCAAATTCATTGCAGCCGATGCGGTGTCCAAGGTGCTTGTTCTCCTATGCTTGGGTCTCTGGGCACGATATGCCAAGCGGGGAAGTCTGGAATGGATGATAACATTGTTTGTGCTGATCACAATACCCAATACCCTGGTGATGGGAACCCCTCTGTTGGCAGCTATGTATGGAGCTGGGCCAGGCGATCTCACCGTCCAAGCAGTCGTCCTGCAGTGTATAATCTGGTACACTCTCTTACTTGTAATGTACGAGTATCGGGCTGCAAAGATTCTAATCATGCAGCAGTTCCCAGAAAACGCTGCATCTATCGTCTCCTTCAAGGTGGACTCAGACGTGATGTCCCTGGATGGGCGGGAGCCAGTGCTCACGGAAGCTGAAATAGGCGATGATGGCAAACTGCACGTCAAGGTTCGAAGGTCTGTGTCATCTAGGTCGCAGGGTATGCACTCAGCGCACCACTCCATGCCTTCTTCAAAGGCACTAACGCCCCGCCCTTCCAACCTTACTGGTGCAGAAATCTACTCCATGCATTCCTCAGTGAATCTTACGCCACGAGATTCGAGTTTTAACCAGGGCGAATTCCACTCCATGATGTCGCAGCGAAGCCCTCATCGTCAGTCGAATTTTGACACTTCGGATGTCTACTCCTTGCAATCATCTCGAGGTCCCACACCAAGATCTTCCAATTTCAACGAGGAAAACTCGAAGGATATACACACGCATCACCGAGGATTGAACATGAATTCCCCTCGGTTCGCCCCACCTTTGTATCGGAACGGAATGGGGGCTAGGATGTTCACGCCCCGACCTGGCCTTGGAGGGATAGGAGTACCTGGCACCGATTGCACAGGACATGGGACTCTAAGCACTTTGGGTGCCCCGGGAATGGGCCCTGATGGTCGCACCATTTATCCAGGAAGCCAAACAGCCATCAACATTCTTACTCTTGGAGGTGCTGCAAACGTCAACGCAACTGCTCCCTCAACTGCTGTCAACACTCAGATTGTTAACCCAGTGTATTCACCACAGGCGTCACAAATCGCGAAGAAGGTGAAGGATCCAAAAGCCTCTCCAAGGGCGGACGAGGATGCCAAGGAACTTCACATGTTTGTGTGGAGCGCGAATGCATCCCCCGTCTCTGAAGCTGGTTTGCACGTCTTTGGAGGAAATGATACCTCTGCTAATCTTCAGCAAAGATTTGACCCAAAAGAAGTGCGCATGCTTGTACATCCACAGTTGGACCGTGGCCTTGCTGCAGGTGATCCATTTGCCTCCCACTTGCATGAATATTTTTTTGTTCGAAGTTGAGTTCGCTTCTCTTTGAATGAAATGTCTTCCCCTCCGCGTACTGCAGCGGTAGCAATAGGGACTTTTCTTCTGTAAATGTTTGGCGGGTTTTGCTTGATCAATGTGGCAGTTTTCTATCGACTAGTAAGGTAACTAAAATATCTGAGGATGCCTCCTATTTACCTTATCTCAGACGAACATGTTGCTTATTTGTCACTCTTATTTGTTGTGCAGCAAGCCCTAGAACGTATGATGAATACACTCGAGAGGACTTCAGCTTTGGAAACAGAAACGATTTGAAATTGGAGGATCTTGACAAGGATGGACCTCGGTTGGACAAGTTTGGTTCGACGTCGACTGCTGAATTGACACCGAAACTGGCAGAGGACGAAGCGAAGAAAAGCATGCCACCTTCTGCTGTGATGATTAAGCTAATTGCGGTCATGACCTTCAGAAAACTTGTTTGGAATCCAAATACTTACTCCAGTTTACTCGGGGTTATCTGGTCATTGGTTGCAAATAGGTAAAATTTCTGCCGTGCAGACCTGCTCTGTGTCTACGTGTCCCTTTAAAGCTAGTGATCAATTCGGTAAATCACCGAATTGTTCATATTTACATATATATTGTTGGGAGTGGTTCTATTCAAATGTTGTATAAAATAAAGGTGATATGTGATTTCAACGCTTTTATCTTTCTGACGATCAATTCGGTGATTTTCGACGAGTTTGCAGGTGGCACCTCTCTATGCCGCTGATCCTTTACAAGTCTGTGCACATTCTTTCAGATGCAGGTCTTGGGATGGCAATGTTTAGCCTCGGTAAGTCCCAGTACTAGTGAGTCCTACGTGACTAGTATATGTGAGCATGGGTTTTCCACAATCTTTAGGTCCTAAACTGTTCTATAACTGTCTCATCAAATTAGCATGTTTTGCTCATTCAGACCCTACAACAGATGCAATTCATACTGTAAAGTGACACATGGAACAACGTGTGAATTTCTTTCAGGTCTATTCATGGGATTGGGCGATCGTATAATTGTGTGCGGGACGAAAATGGCAGTGTTTGGGATGGCTCTGCGATTCCTGGCAGGCCCAGCTGTATTTGCTGCAGCCTCTTATTTAGTGGGCCTCCGTGGCGTGCCGCTCAAGGTTTCCATAGTGCAGGTACTCTTAAGTACTCAACTTCTCATCCGCGAAGCTTAGATTTTCCTCTACACTGCTGTTCTTGATCACAACTGCTAATATCCCTTCTGCTCCGTCCTCGAATCTCTGCTATCTCATGTCTGCGTTTATCTTTGAATGCAGGCTGCGTTACCACAGGGCATTGTACCATTTGTGTTTGCAAAGGAGTATGGTGTGCATCCAGAGATACTAAGCACTGCGTAGGCACTCTCTTCCTCACAACATGATAAATTTGTCAGATATTAGCTTAAATTGAGTTCATCCGATTACGATGTGACCTGAACAGTTGAGCTGACTATGAGCACATTTTGAAAGAAAAAACTTCTATCTAGTATCAGAGTTTGCTAGTAAGTTTTTGGTGGGCGATTGTAATTGCAGGGTGATCTTTGGAATGCTTATTGCATTGCCAATTACGATGGTATACTACATATTACTTGGTCTGTGATTGGCTGGCAAGTGCTATTTTGTTCGGCTACAGGATGTCTCCAGCACTTCGTTGAAGCCTCAATGCGGCTTCGCCACTTTTTGAGTACTCAATTTTACATGAGCACTTGCGGTGCCTAACCCCCTTAAGGTGCAGGGCTCGGCTAGTTTTACCTTAATCCGATTTGATAGGCCTTTTAGATAGTACTCAAATCTGCCAGAAACTGAACATACAGCAACAAGTTCTTGTGTACTTTATAGAAACCCTTGCAACCTCAAGGGTAAGAAGAGCTGCTTAATCGATGTTCAGCATTCAGGTGTAGAGCCAAGTCTGCTCCATTGCGGTGATGCACGTCCTCATCAAACTGGTCTCCGAAGTGCAGGTGAGTCCTTGTTGTCACTATTCAGACTCATGATGCACATTCTTCTGCTTCACTTCTACACCAGTTGGTTCTTCCAATCACTGCTGGGAGAAAACATCAACAGTCATTCTTTTCACCACCAGCTTTTCTTAATGGGGTCCTCATCAGTTTCTCACAAGACATTCTGTGGGATGGTGATTGTAGGGAATGCGTAACAAAAGATGAGGGATGGAGGCATAGAAAAATACTTGTGTAAGATGATAGCCTTTGTTGCCAAGATCATGCCTGTAGTGGGGCGTGCCCCTTGTGTCTTTCACTATCCATTACTCTGGATACTAAACAAAAATAAAAATTTAACTTCAGAAATTTCGACCCTCAAATACTTACGCTTCCTGCTAGAATCGCATGTTATTTTAGTGTGGGTTATAACTGAATTGCCTTCGGCGGAAGTGACCAACTCAATCAGTGAGATCTCGACTCTGATGAACTCTGACCCTGAAAGGGCAAACCCCTGTGACTTGCTATGGATGTATTTACTGGGTAGGGTTTGTTAACCGGTATGAGTAAAATCTGAATGAACCACCTGATACAATATACTGAATTGCACCAATCGAGATGAATGTGGGCCCGTTTAGTCGGCGCTTTAGCCAACATTCTCCTGGGCTTCAAATAAGCTTGCGAGCACGATGCTAGATGCATGCAGAGGAATGTGCAAAGCCTCTTCAAACAGTGTGTGCCTCGAGGCCTAATCGCCTGCTAGCACATTCTGCCCACCGGCTCCATGGGGATCATCTCTGTAAGCATCAGCTGCTGAACTATGGTCAACTACTACCATGTCTACTCTACTGCCTATCTTTATCTTTCTAATACAACCAAAGGTCGGTTTTGTGAGTGGAAAAACCATCAAACAACACTCACCTTCTGATAAGGATAATGCAGAAAGGCCAAAAGGGAAATTCATTGCATTTATCCTCTCTTGCAATATGGGGCTATTTTGAGAGGAGAAATGCTCCCAGTGGAGGTCTTTATCTGGTGGTTTAGAATACGCTATCAATGTTCTCTGGTGGTCAAAAGTGCCAGAACAAACATGATAAAAAAGAGGAAGAATGTGATGAGAAAAGCTGCTCCTGTAGTCCTTTCATTCTCCTATTCTACTCGGCAGTTGATGTACACGAACTGGGTCATATTGCAAGTACAAAGAACTGGAGCCATTTGTGTGATATTTCCTCTGTCAATTGGGTGGGGGTTTCCAGGATTCAGATTGCTACAAATTTACGTGCTGATTTCATTCCAATAAACTATAGTTTCTTGTCGCCCAGTATGAACGAAATAGGCCTGAAGCCTCAAACTAGGGTTGCAAAAGGAGGGTTTGCCTCTGCATCAAGCAAGCCTTGGCAACTGTAATAGTACCATGGCAGTTGTACAAGTTGTGCCACTATGCTCACAAGTTATGCTTGTTACTTACATATAAATTAAAATTTATTGATTTTAAAATTTAAAATTTAAACATAAAAAATAAAATTTTAAAAAATGTTAAACTTTGTCGTTTGAATCATAATAAAATATGACTTGTATAGTGGGTATACCAAGTTGTTTTTCCAAGCTGAAATATCGACGTAAATATAGTAGTAAGGACTTGAGAATATGCACATTTTTCAATACGTTTTATTCAAACTTCATAGAATATTAAGAGTTTTATATTTTTAATTTTTTTGAAAAAAAATTTAAAAATTTAAAAAATTAAGAATGTTAAGTACAGAAGATACAAGTATCTGAGGGCATGGTTGTTTTATCAGATAAATAAATACAATTTTTTTATAAATAATTAATAATGGATATGTTATAAACACATGCAATAAAAATTACAAGTTGGTTGTTTTCTAAAACAAAAACTACTGTTAATCATACTCTACTTAATTAGTAAAAAATTATGTAATTTAATATTTATATTTTTTTTATAAATACTACTAAATATAAAATTTCAATAATAAAATAAAAAAATCGTTTCACTAAATATATTAATTAAAATAAACCATAAAAATCGAAATACTTTAATAAAAAAAAATTACAACTTCCATATGTACATTTTCATCATGAAGGACTGAATGTGATGTAAAAACACACAAATTAAGTTACAAAAATTATAATTAAAAAGTAAAAAATAAAATTCAGTTTCAGTTCAAATTAAGTACACAATTATTGATCATTGATAAATTTAAAATTTTAGTAATAAATCAAATAAGAAAAAAAAATATAAAAGAATTAGCATATCAAGCACTTTGTGTATAATATGGGCTTTCTATTAAACAAATAAAAATTAATTTCCCACGTTCAACAAAATTCTTGGAAACAAATTGATAGTGGTTGTAGTATATACATTTAATTATTATTACAAGCATGGTTAGTTTTTCATTTTTTTAAAATAATCCTTTTAAAAAATATTTTTTAATATTTTTAATATGCTAAAAAGACATAATAAAAAATATCCTAATTTTTACAAGAGATAAAAAGAGTTTTAAATACTTTTTAAATAAAGATTTCATTCTATAAAACATTGTTTTAGAAACACCAAAACCTGGTTATTAGAAAATATGTGAAAAGAAATATGGATATTAACCAGACTTGGTTACTTTTACACATATATATATATATATATATATATATATATATATATATATAATCAACTCCTAAATATTTAGAAATGTTGCATTTATTAAAAATATTTTAATACGATTTACAATTCAATCATTTAATATACATAAAAATACTTATATATATATATATATATATATATATATATATATATATCTATATATCTATATAATTTCTCTTATATTAAAAACCATATAGTTTACAAACATTTAAATAAAATTTGAATTAATTAAAATTAAATTAAAGTTTTAAATTAATTTAAAAAAATTTAAGGAGATTTAGAGAATTTTACAAAACATATTGCAAGGATAAAAAAAAAATTTCATGATTTTAGATTAAAAAGGTATAAAAGGGATACTAAGGATTTTTTTAAATATAATTACAAGTGATCTTTAATATTATGCAGTCCAAAATGATTAAAAACCTTTCAACTTAGACCTATACAACTCAAAGAGTGGTACCAAGAAGAAAAAAAAGTTAAATTTCAAAATTAGATGTAGATCAAATAGAAAAAATTGCTATATAATATTCTTTAAAATAATTTAAAAAATATCTATTGTTTTAAATTTCTAAGTTTGTGATAGATTAGATGGTTGTGTATATATTTATACATTAAGTCATTGTTAAAAGATGATATATATAATATAGTCGACTCAATCAATAAAATATAATATACTAAAAAAACTCTTGATCCATATAGAAAGAAAAAAAAATCTTATAAAAAATGATAATGTGGTAAAAAAAGATTATCTTAGTTTAGTAAGCATCATTTTTTTTTCTTAAAAAAGTTATTTTGAACGAAAAAAAGGCAATAAAAAAATAATCATTTGTTGTTAGGTAGATTAAAAAAAAAAAAAAAAAAAAAAGCTACAAAATTGTGTCCAAAAGTAATTAAAATAATAATATAAATAATTCTAAATAAAGATAATAAGTAATATCAAAGCATATTAATTTTTTAAGATTTATAAAAAGTAGTTTTTAGCATCTTAAGAGATTTTTAAATAGGCCAAGAGTGATAAAAATAGCTTTCATTTATTAAAATAGATTTCTAACAGAGAAGTTGTAATATATATATATATATATATATATATATATATTGAAACTTTAGTATGAGAAGGTAGAAGTAATAGCTTGTGTTAAGAAAAACTTAATGCTTAGATTCCCTACTAGATGTAAAATAAAGCATATTTATCTTTCAATATTTTTTAAATTTTTTTATAAGAAAGGTAATAAATATATAATTTTAGAAAGAAAAATAAAATAAGAGTTAAATAATTTTTATTTTTGGCCAATAAATACTTACAAATATTGAGCCAATAAATTTAGAACTTAATGCCAAAAAATAAAAGAAATAAAAATTAACAATATGATTGAAATCCTTTATGTATTTAATTTATTTTAAAATTTTAAATATGAATTGAGCTAAGATTTTAATGTAATTTATAAGCAAGTAGAAATCTAATATTGAATTATTAATTTATATATAAAATCTAAAAATAGAAAATTTAATAAGTGATTTTCTTGATATTTTATTTGGTCTAAGTCCAAAATATAGATTAATTACTAGTGTTTTAATAAGACTATGTGCAACAAAAAAGTATGAAACTATAAATAGAAATAATTTTTTTTAGAATTTAATTTTATTATCAAAAAAATATTATTAATTTAAAATAACTTAGCTCATTAAAAGTCATAGTAAAATTTAGAGCTATGATATATAATTTTTAATAGAGTAGTAATCAATCTGCATTTAAAACCAAAATTATTTAGATTGTATATTGTAAAAAAACATTGGAGAGAAAAATTAAAGTAGGGACCTAAATGAAGCTATTGTAGCACTTACATGAAAATAGTTTGCAGTAGCAGTATAATCCAAAAAATTGATATGCAGGTTTTTATCTAATATAATCTTAATCTAATACAAAATTATATTTTTAATTGAAATTAAATTTTAAATTGATTATTTATGTAAGAAAATAATATATTAATTTTTTTAAAGAAAATGGATTGATATTTAAATTTTCATAAAAAATAATCTTCACAATATTGTATTCAAATTGTGAGACTTGTTACAATATAGTTTTCTTAAATACTAAATAGTTTATCATGCCTAAATCTAATAAAGATAATATGTTTTCAAATAGAGGACTATTCTTAAAACTTATGTTAGATTCATAAATATATATAATTTTAAACACTACTAGGTCATCTACAAAAGGAATTAGAAGCATACTTGGTGGCTATAATTTCTCATATAGTTTGATAGTAAATATTTATAAACAGAAAAAGAATTGCCTGATAGATCTTAAATTCTTAATATAGCTCAATGGAAAAATTGCAACATCCCCTTTTAAAGCACTAATAGCAATTATGAGTGAAATCAATAAAATATATAGTTAAATTCAAAAGAGAATTTAAAAATTTGAGTTGGTATTTTTAACTAAATATACAATTTATTTATAATGTGTTCTCTTATTTAGTCAAAATTTATTGTTATGATTTCTAAAACAAATTTGATAACATTTTTATTTGGATTATTTTCTTATAAATTAATGTAAAATTTATATTTTACAAGTTTTAAAAAAAATCATAAGTATGATTAATTTGGAATTAGAAAATTTATTATTTGAATAACTTAAAAATAGTTTTTAGTAATATGAATCTTTTAATATAAAATTAAAAAACTTTTTCCAAAAAATTATTGTCAAGTTTTAGGTGCATTAGAAAAGTATAAACACTTCTCGAATAAATAAGTATTTAAAGTTATATTTTTGGGTCTAAAAGCATATATATATATATATATATATATATATTCTAATTCATCAAATTGAGTCTTAATGAATATTTTTATTTTATATAAGAAGATGTAAGAAATAAAACTAAAGGAAAATTTAACCATAGTATTTCTTTTATTATATAGTATGAAAAATCTCACATAACAAAATTTCCAAATTCTAGAAATAATATAATCATTGAAAATAGTATTCAGTGCAAAACTTCATACAACTACCAAATAGTATTTCTACCCAACTTGCGAGCATTTTCTCCAAGTCCATCAATCACACAAATCATGAAAGATCAGCAGAACCAGCGTTAGATTATAGCAGACACTGATAACTTAGAAAAAAACCACGAAACTCCAAGACATACCATGTGTAAGCGTATGTTGAAATAGAGGAGCTTACAAAGCCATGCATCAAGCTTATCACAACTTGAGACTGCAATTCCATGTGACAGTCCATAACTGGTGTTTTTTATAATTATATATTGGGACTGGAATTCCTTGTGATAAGGAATGACTTGTTTTTTTCATCAGACTTTGAAGCTTTCAACAACTGATGGCAGCAAGGAGGAATTCGACGTTTGCTGCCTTGCCAAAAAAAGAGTGTATATTAGCCCAATAGTGTAGTGAAAACTAACAAGCTCTTTGAACACAACTTCCTGGAGAAAATTTTGGACTGTAATGCAGAGTTGAGTGAGAATACCCACAACAGTGTCGCATTAATAATAATAAGTACATAGCTCCAGCAACAGCTTCACCAGCTCTAGAGCTATTAGACGAAAGATTAACACTTGGCAATGTATAATGATGGAGCGAATCCAGCATTCTAAACTGCAATGGACCGAAATGTAAGTGCGAGTGTAAGCCTCGGAAAAATAATAGTTCATACAAAGTTCATACAGCGATCGGCCCCTGAATAAAGAGTAGAATCCAGTAACGCAACAGCTGGACGTGAAAACTCCCTTTTAACTATTGAGTGAGTAGCCAGTAAAAGTTACAACCTGTTGAACGTAAATAGCAAGTTAGTCGTCCTCTTGAAACGGCATTAAATGCTTGCGTTTTTTTCAGAATTCAATTTGAATATGAACCTCAAAATTGTGATGCCTCATAGCAATCCAAGTCCTCTCAAAATTTTTGGCGCTGAGATGTACAGGTTTGTTGCGGCTGCATGTGCTATAGGAGGGAGAATTAGGAGCTATTCTATATACACGGATTCATAAAGATAATAAAGCGCCATTATATGGTACATGAACATAAGCCGCCACAATCGTCACACACATCAAGTGATGACTTTGAGGTCTTCAATGCCATCTTGTACTTCTCGTTATACTTCTGTTCTCCTTCGATGCTGGTTTCACAATGCTTTCCTTGTATTCAATAGATGTATTCGATGCTCGACGAGAGGCGGCAGAGCCTTTAACAGAACTACCGAATTCAAATGAAGCTACATTTACCCAATTGATTTCTTCGTCCTGCTGCGGAACAAAATTCTCCTTCTCCTTGTTCGCTTTGATCTTACCCTGAACTTTGAGAGAACTGGCTTTAGTTGGTCGCAAGACTCCGCTAGATTTCTTGTGCTCGCCTGCAGACGTCAGAGAAAAGTGGCCTTTCGCTCGTCGTGACTTAGCAAGTTTCGTGTTGCTTCCAGCAGACTCAGTACCAGTGCCTAATGAAAAAAGAATACCCACAATTTAGGAATACAATTTCCAAAGTTCCACAGCTACAGATATTTATCCTATATTCGTTGTGAAAAATTATTGCGGGAATTCTCCACTGCTTTCTCAAAATGTAAGCTTCTGGCTGGTAACGAAACTGTGGACAATTATATATGGAAAAAATAGCTTAATCAAAGGCTCAAAAGCTTACTGGTATCGACGATAAATAATCCAGAAAAGAAATCAACGAATGATTGGATAACATCGACACTTACTTGCTGTGGTATTGTTGAGCTGCTTAAGCCCTGAGTTAAGATTGCCTTCAGCAGAGAAATACTCTTGCGAGGGGCAAAGACTGCCCGTGTTGTTACGTGTTCCGAAGTCATCAAGACGGCACCCTTCTTTCGCTGCAAATGCTTGCAGGGAGCTCTCTACCTCCAAGAAGTCGTCGAACAACGTGCAGGTAGGGGAAGGAAACATACTTCCGTCGATGGAGAGAGTCGAAAGTACGCTTGAAGATGAACACTCCTGCACTCTGCTATGTACCGAAGATGTCTCTCTCAGATGAGTAAAACTTTCAGCCATGGTGCACGAGACAGCCGATTCATTGCCCAGAGGGACAATGACGCGGCGATTCTCTGCTTGGTCTCCGTGGACTTCAGCACAAAAGTCCATAGTATTTCGACTCGTGTAATTGAGAGATGATTGCGGATGGCCAAAAGTATCATCTATGCTGGATTGGAAATCTTCAGTCTTTCCGCGTGAAAGGGAAGAAATCTGCATTTGCTCTCTTTCATGAGAGATTCCGTTGAACGTGTTTTCAAGTGCTAGAACTTCCTTGGTAGGAGACCGGAGTAAGGAGATATTGCGTCTGTGATTACGGCTAAGCAAGAGAGGGGAACGGAGCTCGAGCTCATGGACCTGTAGAAAATGAAAGGGAGAGCCTTCAATGACCATCCTCAAAACAGGCAATCATGACAAGGAAACGACTTAAATTTATTCTAGCGATCTAAAAATAGATGAAGCATTTTCGAGCAGTGATGAACGCTCATAACATGATGAACTATTCATAGGCCGGCCTTTCAAGTAGACGTGATATCGAGATATTTGTCAGGGAAAAGTAGATCAGTGGGCTAGTAAACTGCATATTACCTTGTCCTCTAGGGCAATAATTTCCTCCTTGAGCTCCTGAATTGCAGAATCCTTGCGTCTGCATATGTCCTCCAAAACTGCCAATCTCTGCACAATTGTCCACAAAATCAAGCCATCTTTTCAATCTTTCAAATCAAGTTGTAGAATTATGAGGCGTCAGAATTGAGGAAGGGAAAAGAAGTTTTGTATCTGCTAGCGGACGTGTTCACGTGTATGGTCTTACTTAGAAACAAAACGCAGTCAGCAAATTTATGTATTACCTGATCACTTGCTTCTCGAGTTGCTTGAGCGGCAGCAGTGATACCGTCAAGGGCAGCATCACGCATCTGGCAGTCTTTTTTAAGCTCATCAATCTCCTTCGATTTCACTAAATACATAACCTGTTCATCTCAAACCAGAGATTAATATCATATCAGTAGGTGAAAACCTGATGCTCAATCAAGTCAATGAATATTGAGCATCAGCAGCTCCAAATTTCTATCATGAAGCCATTTCCAAAAAAAATTAACCATTTCCCAACATCATCTGAGTAAGAATGCCTCATGACACTGACGACACTCTAAGCATGACAGAAATTCTCGCTACTTCTGGCAGAGCTGATTCATTTCATGTTAAAGAACAGTTCCTTTTGCTGCACTATGCAAAGTAAATTTGGTTCAAACCATGTGCACGTCTTCACCCTGGAATATTACCTTACGGCTCCGCATTAACTCGTCGTAGGCGGACTCCTTCTCCCGAAGCTTCGCTGTAAGCTCACTCATTTCCCTTTCGAATTTTTCCTGAGATCGTGGAAATTTACGTGATGTTGCTACCTCAATAATTACATAACGAATAGGAAGAAAGTATAGGATCACATGCCCTCTGCGAAACAGGTGCAAAAAATCACAGTTGTCGTCGTTTTTTGTCTCACCTGGTTTTGGTGGTCACGAGCTATTGCCTCCGCAAGCTTAATCTCAGCTTTCTTTCGTTTAGCGTCAGTCTCTCGCACACTTCGTTTCAAACTGAGCATCTGGCATTCCATTCCTGAAATCTGAGGTTGGTAGAAGCGCAATACCAACCGAATTCACAATGATTAGAGAATCAAATGCACCGTTGATGAGCGATGTCAAAAAGATGCAAATCTTAACTGCCTAATCCTCAAACGCCATGACATTTGTAGCTTGAGATATTGGGACGTGTGCATGGAGCATTAATTCGAAAACAATCGAAAACAACTAGTTTTACATACGTGGCGACAGGCACCACATTGTTAAAAAGGCATGGCTGTTTCTACTGTGGAAACAAAGATAGAAAATGTAACTTCTACATCCATCTGCATTTAGGGCTACCTTGGCAGCGGCCTTCTCGAGCTCTCCTAGTAGCTGTTGAGCAAGAAATTGAGGTGCATCTTCTGAGAGAGAAGACACCCGTTTTCTTGCCTCTGGACTATCAAAGTTCTCTGCAGCTTTCCTTCCATCCAAGGGAGCCATCAATGAATCCACAGTCTTTCGAACTGCAACCCTTATTGCTGAAGCTATTTCAATGCCTTTATTTCTCCAGCTAGGAGAGCATACCACCTGATTTTCGACTTCAGAGGATATGATTGCTGCAGTTCCAGTCTTGCTCAGCGGCGAGGGCAAGGCTGTTTCAAGTTGCTTGAGCTGTAACGATTGCTTCCATTCCTGTATTCCTTCCTCACTAGTGGGCACAAGTTTTTGTTCCTTGTTCATGAGAGTGTCCTGAAAATGCTCCGAAAATTCAATGCATCTTTTATTGTCAGCAATACCAACAGAGAACACACTCAGTTGGAACCTTCATCACTAAAGGTCCAAACTGAGGACTTCTTTTCCAAAGAGATGACAAAATGTGGATAAAATACAATAAGATACTGTTCATTAGTCATTTTCGAAGAAAATACAGAATCTAATTAAAATTTACTGTAAATGGTTTGTTGAATTAACCTTCGTCACTTGAAGTAGAAAGCTCTCAAGCTCCAGCGGTGACGGATTGAGGGACGCCAGTGTATCTGGTCCGATAGTATGCCAGATGTTTACCACAGCTGACTGAAGTGACGCAACCTGTGCGCTTGCTTTTTCTACACTCTGCTTCAAAGCAGTCGAAGCTGCCACAAAAAAAATACCCAAATATGTGAGTTTCGCTCCTGTTTACAAGTAACCGATCCTAATTCTTATGACAGATTGAAACAATGCTTACGCGGGTCTAAATGATTACATGATAGCCTGGGATCATAAAATGTAGTTGTCCGCTCTCCATGCTTATTATGGAAAACTCTAGTCAAACCTGACAATCTGGCAAGAACAAATACCTCGGGCTTTCTTCTCGGGTGTATTTGCACGTCGTGTCAATGAGTTTGTTCTGTCGGCTTTCTCTAACTTTTGAGCCTGCAAAACCACCGACTATTAGTACGCATTTCTCTTGGTGAGATGGAATAGCTCCGGTGAAAAATCTTACAGGTGGAATATCTCCTGGATCCTACGAGGAATAGTCCAGCAATGGGAACACATCACCTTCTCAATGACGTGAGAGAGGGCAGCCATGACATGCGAGGCCTCTTTATCCAGAACTGACGACACCTGGTTCTGCATTCACATTAATTCTTGCGGATTTAGAAAGGAGATTATGCATAGCGGGTCTCGACTACATACCACACTGAATCATTACCAATCATAACTACCGATGAGAGCATACTTAAGAACTGCGTGATCGGTTCCACCAAGATAAGCTCACACAGGGTTCAATTCCAGAAAGACTGAGGCAATCAAAAATTGCCATAATACTCACCTTCACTTCGAGGAGCATAGTAGCACGTCGTGCCTTCAACTCCTCCAAATCTGAGCATTGCTCCGAACCTTTAGAATAGGCAATCGAACTCTGCTAAAATGAAGACCAAAAGCAAAAAACACAGCTTCAGTTAGACATTGAGGACTGGAAAGTTTGTGTCTTAGTCATATGAGAATTACATCAGCACAATGTGCAAAGTTGGAAGTGAAACCAGTACGTTGAAATTATATAATCAGGTGCGTTAATTTCCAAAAGGTGGGATCCATATCTACATCAAACTAGAGCACGTTGGGAAAAGAAATGTGCCTCGAAAGAAGATCTCTTCTTGTTGGTTAGTGGAGTGATGCCGCCAGCACTTAATGTCGTGAAGGAGGACTTCACAGGCGTCCACTCTGCAGGCTCCTTCGCATCTAATGCAAATCTGGAGAATATTCTCTGTCGTTTCTCAGGTGTGCAATCCTCAAAGTAATGCTCGCTTTCATCATCATCTCGGCTCCGTGAAGTGTTTTCTGTCAGTTGATTACTGAACGACTCAGCCTCTCCTAATTGGACTTCTTCGACCACAGCTTTGGGATACTCTACAATGTAGACATCTTGGCTGACGGGGCCATCTTTAAATTGATCGTAGTTTATTAGACCATCAGATAATTCACATTTGGGTCTCTGGTATGTTTTCGGTGTTTCTATACTTGGTTCCTCGGAGTTCGATGCTTGCCTCCCCTTCAGCGGCATGGCTGGACTTGATGCCCTTGATTTCTGATCAATATGTTCTATACTAGGAGACCTAAAAGAGAGGGGGCCGTTTTCTTCTGCGGCAACTTGATCCCACAGGTTGCTAAGTTCTCGTCTCATGAGCGACAGGGCGTTCTCCTGTGCACGATTCAGTAATCAATTTATGATATCTTTCCATCGCTAGTAAGTATCTTCAAAAAAAAAACGTCATGGAGGCAAAAACTGGAAAGATCAGCATCACATTTTGGGAACGCTTGAAAGCCACTGATGCTCGAATAACACAATGCAGGATTCGTCAGAATGGATCAAACCACAAGAAGAACTACCAAGTTGAGCTCACCTGTGCATGCACTTCTTTTTGCAGGCGATTGATTTCTTTGTGGTTTTTGTGTTTACTAGATGCGGCAGCTGCAGCAGCTACAGCCACAATTAACACCCGTTGCAAAGGTGCAAAACAATCCCAAGCTTGGGCCTCCTCCTCTCCCAAATCCCCTCCTATGGTGGCGGAGGAAGTTGCAGAAACGGCGTTAGTTATACGCCCGTCCAGAGAAATATGCGCCATCCCATTGGAAAGGTCCTTCCTGCGAGCTTCCTCATTACTTGCCAATGCAATTTTCTGTAGGTAGAGTACCTCTTTCGGATGCAATACTGAGTCTGCAACGAAAATAGTAAGAAGGTATTAGACATTACTTGCAAACCAATAGTTATAAAACATTAACTCTTCAGATTCAAGATCTTGAACGAGTAGTGTAACATACCCTGTCATGGGAAACGCTACAATAGAGGGTTCTAAATCTAAATGAATGCAACGACAATGAGATGGAAAATAACCTGACTCTAGAGCAGAGGTTCCTTGAGTGAAATGGAAATCGCATCCGTGAAGTGAAGCTCGCCTGTTGCACCTTGCACTTGGAGCAATAAAATGCTTACTCAACATTTTTTCGCCTCGGCCCGGTCTTGGCGTTGGCTCCATGATTTCGTTTATATCTTCTCCGCCGTCGAGTATGGTAGGCCGTCCATCAACGGTAAATCCTTGAAGAGAAAACATTCCCGATTTCTGTGAAAATGCTCCATCTCCTCCGTATCCGTGTATCGACGACAATCTTCGGTTATAGAGTACATTGTCGTCGGGGTAATAACCCTGGAATTCTGGGGAAATAGAAATTTGTGTCTCTGGGATTACGAGCCGGGGTGCTAGTCCGGCACGCCCAGGGCCAAGTCGGCGACTTACCATGCAGTTAATCATGTTGGAGGCCCACCCAAATCAAAACCACAAGAACCAAGATAACACCGGAGTGGCACCACACTGGTAGATATCCTGTTGCACGCAGAGGGCCACATTAGTGCGGATTACATAATTCAGATCTTGATTTTCTTTGACGAAGCTCGAGCAACTTGATAGTTGTTGCCTAGTCCATCTTTTCTTAAAGGATTCATCCCTTCCGCGCCATTGACAACTGTTGTACAAGCTTGGTCGTCTGTGTGTATCAGACTATTCAGGCATGTAAACGACACATTTTGTTTGGATAACCAACGAACATTCAATACTACTGATGTTCTAAAATGCTCTACGAAGCTCACATTGCATCGTGAGGGCTTCGTAAATGATCAAAACACAAATCCCCCCCCCCCCACCTAAAGATCAGCAGGACGAATGACAAGAAACTGACAAGAAACTGAAGGAACAACTAAGCAAAACATCTCATTGTCACGTTCTTACCCACTTGAGATTACATTAGTTTACTCAACGACAGACCAGAACAAGATTGCACTCCACAAATTAAGTGATGTCCAGCTCAAAGAAAATGGAGCAGCACCACAACACTCATCGTGGAAAGCCGATGGAAGATGTACCTGGTAGATAAACATAGTTCCGCTCACTTCTCAGTCATCCGAGCTCGCAAAATCGACCTCTCCCTTGCGGTGTTCCTCTCCTCGCCCACTTTGAAGGCGACCTTAGGACAGAATTCGACAAATCCCATTAAGAATATTCACACATGACAAAAATTCTTCATCAAACCTCTAGCCATTCCTCGCGTACCAACCTCTCATCCAGCACGTCTCTCCCCCGTAGAATCTCAATCTGCTCTACTCACAAGAGCTAATTCCACCACCACAAACACCTCAGCACTCTATACAGCCTGCAACATTTCAAATTCAAAACTCTGCAGCCTCTCCCCCTTCACAGAGTTGGACATCAGTCCACACGGTAGACTAAGCCCAAAGTAAACCACTATTTCGGCGAATTAAGGAACCAATGGTGCCGGAAATAGTCTTCAAACCATCCTCAAAATAAACCACATCAAAGTAGGAAAATTCTAGAAGGCTAAATTAAGGTGCCGCGATGACAGAATTCAAGAATAAGAGCGGGAGCCAAATCTCAATGCTCTGGTGGGCGGCGAGTGTTTTTGAGGGGAATTAGCAAAGCAACCTTTCCTTATCGGAGGATTTGAAATTTGGCGGAGGTGTGAAAAGGGATGTGGTTCCAACAACCATGTAATGATGAGTTGCACTGGATGGTAGCGACAGGGATAGCTGAGAATGCCGTTTGAATAGGGCTCATATGGGACTGGTCGGAATTGACGAGAATGGTTTATGCCTCTAATAGCTTTAACAGACGAACGAACGAAAGATCGTTGACGATTTTCTTTTCGTCGATAAATGCACATCTTGAAGCTTCCCAGTTTTTCTTATATCATTCAAAGAAACTCTACTTGCCAATATTAATCTGTTACGATGTTTATTTATTTATTTATTTTCATATTTTTAAGTCTATGTTCATATAAGTTTATTTTGTGATTTAATTAGTAATTAGTGGAAATCCATGCAATTGGCCACAAAAAAGCTGTAAAAGTTTAATTTTTGGTTGCAAAGTTAAAAATTGATCACTCTTAAAGATTTTTTATAAAAAAATATTTGAATAAATATATATATTTATATATAAATAATAAAAATAATATATTCATAAAAATGTAATTATTTATGTTTCTTCAATGTAATTAAAAAAATATAATTTTTATTTACTACAATTATTTAAATAAATAAATCAAAAGAACTTTGAAATAAATTAATTTTATTGTATTTTTTTTTCTTTTTTATTCTTAAGATATAGGATTTTGATTATATTTGAAAAAGTGCATTGTGAAATAGATACATAATAGAAACTTGTGCCATTCAGTACAAAAAAATATTCTTGTATTCTTATGAATTTTTATGTATTCCTAAGTTTCTATGTGTTCTTGTGATTTTTTCAAGTTTCTATGGATTCTTGTGAATTCTTATGTGTTTCTTAAATTCTTAAAGATTTTCATACGTTCTTTTTGCATTCTATGAATTTCCATTGGTTCTTATAAATTCCATGAGTTCTTCAAGTTTCCATAGATTCCTCTTACAATTTTATAGATTCTTGTCCATTTCTTGAGTTTCAATTAATTCTTATACATTTCTCATCATTCTTGCACATAGAATCATGTATTTAAGGTGAAAAAAAAAACCAATTCTAAATCTATTTTTTGTAGAGCTCATGCTGCAATCAATTGATTAGGTTTATGATGCATAAAGTATTATTGTATGTGGCCTAATTCATACTTGCAATAAATGCCTCCTACAACAACCTTACTAATTGATTAGCAAGCAAGATTAAAGATCAACACTTTTTACAAGAATTTCTAAGGATGGAGTCCCTAAAATTTTTAATTTTTAATTTAGACTTTAAATGTATTAGATTTTTTTTCTTTGGTAATGAAAATGTTCTAAGTAAAAACCTATTCTTCCAAATTCAAGAGTCTTTTTTTCATATTTTATTTTGTCAACTTTCTTTTTGGTATCTTTTTTATTTTATTATATAAGTAAATTCATAATACAAAGATTTTCTAACATTGAACAATATATACTAGGAACAATTGATAATATTTTTAATTTTTAAAATGAAAAAAATTCTATTATAATTATCAAATAGGTATTTACAAATAAAATGGTGTATTTAAAAGAAATCACCTACTTAAATCAAACTACTTTGTAATTATTATTTAATATTTTATTTAATATTTATTTTCTATTATAGAAATAATAGATAGAAAATATCCTTTTGCTATCTATACATTCAATTATATTCACTATAATGTACAACTTACTTTCAAAGAATAAGAACCAAATAAAGAATCAATTATAGTTTTGTTCTTGGTACTGCTACTTACTTGTTCATTGAAATTTTCTTGTTGAAATATGAGTTCCAAATTCTTTTCAGGTTGATAAAGTTTTTAATTTTTATGAGGTTGCACTTTATCATCTAATTAAAATTGGTAGTAATTTATCAAAGATAGTTATGTTATTGAAAATGATCACAATGTCTACCAACAAATTTATACATTGATAAGAGAAAAGCTCAATGGTTGTTACATATATTTGCAATTCTCAAATATTTTTTTAAACAAGAATGAGCCAAAGATTTTTTGGCATGAAATGGTCAATTGATAAGCATACTGTCACGGACACAAAATACAGACTTGAAATCTAACAAGAAGTTCAAGAAGAAGTGGCAGAACTAGATTAAACAGATGAGTACAAGAACAACACCAGAAAGGTGAGCTAGAACTCCAAGAGATGTGTTGTCGAGACTGAAGAACCCTTCAGCCTCGACTCCTATATATACTACTGAATAGGAAGCTTCTCGAGCTACTTCCGCTAACTAGGACGCTTCTCCAACAACTTCTATTAATTAGGAAACTTCTCGAGCAACTTCCTAGAATCTATCAGAATATTCTAGAACCTTCTAAGAGAATCTTTAGGGAATATTCTAAGAATCTTCTAGAACCTTCTAAAGGAATCTTTAGAGAATCTTTAGAGAATATTCTAGAAGAATATTCGAAGAATCTTCCAATGTATGTCCATGACATCACCTCCTCTTCTAACTTCGTGGTCTCCGAGAAGCAATGTTGTTATCAGTCAATACCAACGCAAGAAAATGAAAATCTGTCGCATCACATCCGCTATGAATTCCAATTGTTGTTCGCGAGGCAAATGATTCATCGGCCCTTGGAGCCAACGATAGTGACCAATACCTTCAACCTCTGACCAAGCGTGGACTTCTGTGTCTTCATTGTGAAACTGTCCTCCAAACACACCTTCTGGCTGACCGTCGTAGGCAGGCTCGACCTCAAATACAATTACTAGCGATCTGTTGCTCAGTATCCTCCGACGTCGTCGTGGTGCAGGCGGTTCTTCATCTCGCGGTCGTCTTCGTGAGCTAGTCGCTTGAGATGACATAACAAGTGTAGTATCTTGACTATCCATGTCCAAAGGCTAAAATGATGAGAGCAAACTATAGTTGCTAACAAAGTTCTACACTATCGAACTATGGGTTTTGGAGGTGCCCTCCCCCCTTTTTATGCTACTTGATGAGCAAGCTTCAGCAAGAAGCTATCGTTGAATCGGCTTAGGTTTATGAGGATATCGTTGATGAAATTCTTGTACCTTTTTTGGTGCATTGGCAAGATTTTTGGCACGCTCCCACGTTCGTTCATTGATGTCGTATCCACTCCAATGCACTAAATACTCCAATTTTCTCCTATTACGCCGTGAATCTAGTACCTTTTCCACCTCGTATTCCTCATGGTTTTCAATTTCGATACTTGGTGGCGGACTTTGTACTCTTTGGGGAAAAGCTGACTCTCGATAAGGTTCCAACAAAGACACATGAAAGACTGGATGTACCTTCATAGTAGCTGGTAACTCCAGACGATATGCCACCGGATTGATCTGCTTCTCGATAACAAATGGCCCTAATCTCCGATAGTCCAATTTGTCACATGGCCGCTTGGTCTTGATATTCCTTCGAAGAAGCCATACTTTACTTCCAACTTTAAAAGTAGGCGCCTCATTTCGATATTTATCTGCAGATGCCTTGTAACTCTCTTGGGCAGATTGCAATTGAAGCTTCAACGTCGCTTGAAGCTCCGATAGTTGCTTCACAAATCCTTCAGCTGCTGGGTTGTTATTTGCTGAAGAATTCAATAAATCGAGCTTGGGGTGGTATCCGTAGTTGGAGAAGAATGGTGTTTGTTGAGTTGACGCATGAAGAGTGTTGTTGTATGCGAACTCAACAAGCGGTAGATATGCAGTCCAATCATCTTGTTGATAGTTGATGCTGCATCGTAAATATTGCTCCAAAACTTGATTCACTCGCTCCGTTTGACCGTCAGTTTGAGGATGAAAAGCCGAAGAGAGCTTAATATCCACCTTCAATATCTCAAAGAGGGACCTCCAAAACTTGGATACAAACTGAGTACCTCGATCCGACACGATATCATCTGGTAGGCCATGATAACGATCTTGAATTTTTCTGGTTTCAACAATGTTGTACATTGTTGATCAAACGCTGCTTCTCCAGCCTTTGGCGCAAGATACGATCTCCTCGATAATGCGTCAGATAATCCTTGCTATTTTCCAGGGCGGTAGGTGATAATAAAGTCAAATCGTGATAGAGACATATTCCATCGAGCTTGACGACGATTCAAAATTTGAGCTGTCATGAAGTACTCCAAATTCTTGTGGTCCGTATAAACAGTCACTGGATGTGTAGCTCCTTCGAGGAAGTGACGCCACTCTTGGAAGGCATCCTCTATAGCAAGCAGCTCTTTGTCGTGGATCTCGTAGTTGATCTCAGTAGCAGAGAACTTCCGTGAATAGAACGCAACTGGGTGAAGCTTCTTGTCTATGCCCATCTGTGAAAGCACAGCTCCCAAAGCAAAATCTGAAGCATCGGTCTCTAAATAGAAAGCCTTTGCAAAGTCAGGGTGTACCAAGATTGGAGTCGTAGTGAATGCCGTCTTGAGATCTTGAAATGCTTTTGCTGCTTGTGATCCCCATTCGAGCTTGTCTTTGCTTGTTAGACGCGTGAGTGGTGCAGCAACTTGAGAATAATTCTTGATGAAGATCCGATAGAAGTTAGCAAATCCAAGAAAACACTGAACATCTCTAACCGTCTTCGGAACTTCCCAAGATATAATTGCTTCTACCTTTTTTGGATCCATCTTCAAGCCCTCTGTAGTCGCAATGAAGCCCAAAAATTCCATCTCATTCTGGTGAAATTGACACTTCTCCAACTTGGCGTAGAGTCCTCGTTCGCGTAGTTTTTCAAGAACCAAACAAACGTGCTTCTCATGTTCTTCTTCATTCTTGGAAAATATCAAAATATCATCTAGATAGATGACAGCAAAGTCATCGAGGTACTCCCGAAAGATGTCGTTCATCATATGCTGAAAGACCGCTGGAGCATTGGTAAGACCAAAAGGCATGACATTGTACTCAAAATGGCCATACCTTGTACGAAAGGCTGTCTTCCATTCATCTCCTTCTTTGATTCGCACAAGGTTGTAGGCTCCTCTTAAATCAATCTTTGTAA